TCTGCAGAAAAATAAAAATGGTAATTTTTTTAGCTCTTCAATGAATCCTGCTACTACCGAAAAAGGCTTTCTGAGCCGGAAAGAGGACATTTTAGCCCGCTTGAAGACTTCTTTTTCTCGAGAAGCCAGCGGAACCAGTGTTGACGCACTTTTGCAGAAAAACTTTGCCGCAGCTCCGATGGGTGCAGTAATGACGCAATTTTGCAGAAAAATGAGAGTAAATGATCCTTTTAATAGATTAGCTGACGTGGAGACGGTGGCACAGTTCTACTTCGCACTATTTCTGCAGAATTGGGAAAGTACCGTAACCTAGAGGAAGTTTGTCAGCTTTTCTTACCGTACTTTCTCGAGGTTGCTCTCAAGTGACAACCAGTTTCCCGTGCATCTTCGCCCCGTTACTTCCGAGGAACAGCTAGGCGCTCAGAAAACGAGTCCCCTGTTCAGTTAAGCCCTTCAAAACGAAATAGTGTAATAATGGTGGAGAGAGTGAGACGGAAAACGTCTGCCTAGGAAAATAACAAAACCCCTACCAGCCGCGGCAACAATGAGAGAAAGAACCGAGACACAAAGAACTCGCCGGCCACCCTGAACAAAGCCCCACATTTTATCGTTGGGGAACGGGTAACGATGGGTTCTACTGCCGTAAAATGTCTAAAGTGTCCATCCATCGAAATGACCCTCAAAATTGAGGAAAAAAGCACCCCAGCCTTCAATTCTACTGAAGTGTGTCCCCCATGTTGTTTACAGGGTAGTGCGTCCACGCAGATGGGGTTAGAACACATTGAAATCCATGGCACCACAAAAATAATTGCAGAGTAAACATACGAATGCGTCTAGTGGAGCGCAAGCAAAACAAAACTAAATTATAGCCCTTTGGGATTAAATTTCGGGCTGAATGGCCCACTACCCTTAAAATGCAGTGATGAGGTAAAAGCTGGTAAAGAAGTGCCTTAAAGATGAGTCCTAGGACAATCAGTGAAATAAGCAGCAGAAAAAGGAGCGCTCTCGGCTGAGGGCATTCTTCTCGGATGCGCCATGCACCGGAACTTTAGTCTGGGTAGTGGGAGCAATGAAAAGACCGTTTTTTTCGGCAATGGAGGGTAGCCTGGAACGCGTGCTGAACTGGAACGCGTGATGAACTTAGTCTACAATGTCCTGGTTTCCGGTTTCTTTGTCTCAAGCGGGGAATGAACTTAGCCAGCAACGTCATCGAGCGCAAGCTTGTCAGAAATTCGTTGTCACTTTATTCACCACTAAATAGCTTCGAGAGTGATTAACGGTCTGAATATAATCCTTGATAGATTCACAAGGAAAGGTAGAGTAGCTCAGGGAGAGGGGGTGTTTCTTGCACAGAAAAAACAACAGTTGAACTCCTGCAGAAAGTCAATACAGTGAAGCTCATTAGTAGTTCACAGGCCCTCCGCATAATACTGTATCCGAAACGATCGATATTGATTTTTGTGCTAGCTGGCAAGACAAGTCAGGTATATTAGGTATCAAGACGACCGATCAAATATTGATTTTATGCTAGCTCGAAAGCACTCCACCTGCATACGGTAGCAACGAACCGATCAATATATTGATTTTTATACATTTTCAAATTAGAAACACAACTGCAACTACCACTGACTAAGCGGCCGGTACTCAGGGTTTTATGAACAGATTTTTAGGGCGACTTACTCTAGAAAAATCTGTACAAAACTATAATCCGTAATTTTTTCGAGGCAGTGGTAACTCCAGAGAATATCCCTAGGCTTTCCGCGTTTTCAGTGCTAGGAGCCAGCTCCTACCCATCCTCTGTGAGCAACTAAGAAGTTTCACTCCCTCAGTCTCTACTAGTTGTCAACGACCCTCGGCAACCCCAATGACAGCGCGATAGAGCCATCTAACACGGCCACCCCAACCGGACAAAGACCACGACCATATGGCAAAACAGTCACATAAAAACGAGACCGGGTATGCGATGCAGCGCACTTCCCGCACACTCTCCAATTCGACTCAATCACTCTCCATCGTTGTGTTGGAGAGCAGCACCCGCTCCAGCGAAAACAGCAAAACACCACAATCACAAGAAACCCAGAGAGAATCAACAAAACCATCACCTCACTCCAGAAAAAGAACTGAACAAACAAGCAAAAAAGAGCAAGCAACGAAGATAATGCCCTCAAAAACATATCAACGAAGCACCACAGAAAAATTTTTGGAAACTCGTGAACTTCTTCTTTAAAACTTCTTCAAAATTCAGACCAAGGCTAAAGCTAAACAATTGCTGACCTTCCAACCAGCAGAACTGTTCGAATCGCCCTTGTCTCGGAAGTACGGCACATTTTGCACCATCCATTCGTAGACTGAAAAAGTCGATAATTGATTGAATTTTGGACCAGCTATCTCACAGCTTTTGGGTCTTACATGCTACCCCCGTAGGTGCCCGCCGACACTAAATCTAGGGCAGGTACGATTTTGAGCTAATGTATGGAAGTGAAAAGATATGTTTATTTCCTTCCTAATTAAAAGCTAGAAATAAGAATTAAGAAACTAATATAAATAAAAAGGGAGTTCATGCTTGAGCATGTGGGAAGACACGGTCTTTGGAAGACCGCTACTGATGGCAAAATTCTGAAGAAAATAGTCCCTCAAATCCCCTGCGGGTAACATTTTCAATGGGGCTCTCAAAATACCTTGGTATGCTTTTGACATACCAAGGTATTCTGTGGGAGGTTAGGCTTAGAGCACGTATAAAAGGAGCTACGACAGCACGATTTTGGGCGCAACCAGGCCCGAG